CGTGTTCCACTCGAGTGATGGCCTGGCGTGTGATGTCACTTGATGGTTTTCTCAGAGTATGGCCAATCCACCTCCATTTCCTCCTGAGTATATTTGTTGTACAATTGGTTCCTGCTAGGTCGGTTCGTTCCTAGAGATCCCTATTGCTGATCTTTTTTGGCAGGCCATCTGATCTTGAGCAGTATTGAGCGAAGACAGCTGTTGATAGAGGTGTGTAGTTTGTTGGAATTGGCATCTGGGACGCAGTGTCAAGCCTCTGATCCCTATAGTAAGTAGCACTGACTGAATTCACATTGGAGTTGAAAATCCGGATCTTATTTTCATTTTCATGCTGAGTGGTGTTGATCTCTACAGAGAATTGATAGTTAGACACCCTTTTTAGACATATGCATAGTTGTGTTCCCTGAGCTGTCTGATTTACTTGGGAAACAGTGAGATGCTCGCCAAACTCACGGGTGGTTCGGAGTTCGATTCCCAGCTGACGCATTCTTTAGCCTCACCTAGCAGGTATCAAACCCAGAAAAGAGAGGGTGGTGCAGCGTGTGGTTAGCAACATCACCCCCGTCCCCACCGCTAAGGGAAATAATACCATTACTACTGAAACATCTAGGCTTCAAACCTGAAACCCTTTTTTCTATTCAGATGGCAAGGAATGAAATACGTTGGTGTAGTAAGCACCCACCTCGGTGAACTTGCACACGATTGTTCATTTCTAGAGACTAGAAATATCAAGAATACCATAGAATTTCTAGAAGCATTGGTAAATAGGTGAATCTAAAGTCACAGACCAGATCTGTGGAGCAATGAAAAAGAGATCGTATGGACAAATGGTCAAATATCAGAACGACAAAATAATCCGTAACGATTTAGGATGAACAAGAGGATAGTAACTTGAAAAAATCTTGGGAAACAACTTATCACATTCAATAGTCATTAGGTTATGGACGGTTATTGCACCGATAAAGAATTTTCAAAGCCTACTTCGACAAAGGTAAACTATCGTAGCGAAAACCACAGTGACCTTGAACAACCAATCAGAATTCAGATTCAAAAGAGTTGCATAATCGTTGAAAAATACACTAAGAAATATTGCAAACATGATATTACACTGATGTAAGAATTTCTCCCAGTCACTAGACAGAAATCGTACCATGGATGATATACCCATTCATCCAGGTGACTGTAGGTCATGGTATTTTGAGATCCATTGATATTTCCGACACTATTCTTCAACCTACTTCTAACTCTAACCATAATCCTAACTCCCAGTTCTAACATTAACTCTAGACTCTAAACCTTAGTCTTATAAGCCATGAGCCCACCTAACACTGTAGATTTGTAGAAGAAGTACTTAGTAAATTAGTAGAATACTGTATCTATCCTCTCCAAGTTCAAAAAGGCAGGCATAACTTGATTTGGAATGATATTTTCTAGCATTCCCTGTATCTAATCGGTTCTTGAAGGTCGACTTTGATAGACCTTGACTTTGGTTGTGACACGTTTACTCCTCCCTCACTTAATTTTGAAGTCGATCTTGAAGTTGTTGTCCATTAAGACAAGGAAAGCTATGCCAATTAAATCATCTTGCTTATATAGGAGAACATCTCAGCTATATCAGTGTCATCCAAATGAACTATAAGTCTTTGCAATTATATATGTGTGTATATATGCAAACAATAAACTGTATTCGACACGTTATCCATTCATTTATATACGACATGACTATGATTTACTTTTTTCTATGTAGACGGGAAATGTTAGTTTATACTACTGATTAGTGTGAATAGTTAGGAACCACTTATTTTTGATTGCACACTAGTCAGTAACTAGTGTAATGTGTCTAGTCCTATCTTGGGTGCAGACTGAATTCTATCACTCGACCCTTGGACCTAGGTCCAAGGCTTCCTGCCGATTGCCTCCAACCACCTAATACCAAAAATTTAAAGTGCACCGTAATGGCGAGCCACCTAGCATGGTGGCCACATTGCAAACATGACTGATAGAATTCAGTCTGCACCGAAGATAGGACTAGACACATTACACTAGTTACTGACTAGTGTTCAATCAAAAATATCCAACACAGTCCTACAGGAGGTCAGTCGCGAGCCTGATTAGCTCAGTGGTAACGTCTCTGACTGCAGCACTGGGTGACGTGGGTTCGAATCTCAGAAGGGACATCAGTTCCTTCAAGGTTGCAGATTTGCCTTGCTGGTGAGTGCCAACTAGCACGATACCTAGGTCCAAGGCTTCCTGCCGATTGCCTCCAACCATCTAATACCAACAGGAACCACTTATATCAAGCAAATGTTTCACTGCTAAATGGATTGGAAGTATTATTATTATTGTTCTATTGTATGAAGGGTTTCATCATGAGCTGACATCAGTTAGAGAACCACTGGAAAACCTGGGAGTACTGGACAGCTGTTTCGTCCCAAACTAGGACTCCCAGGTTCTCGAGTGGTTCTCTAACTGATGTCAGCTCATGATGAAACCCTCCATACAATTAAACAAAATCCCTACCAAACCAATACTTGAAATATTATTGTTCTCTTGGGTTCCTAGTGGAACATAGGGCTTCAACTGCACGTCTCCACTTGCTTCTGTCTTCTGCTGTACTTTTCACCTGCATCCATGTTAGTCCATACTGTTTCAACTCTTCTTCACACGATCTCCTCCATGTCACCCTTGGACGTCACACTCGCCGCTTCCCTTTCGGGTTCCACTCGATCACTGGCCTGACACGCAATGTCACCCAACGGCCTCCTCAGCGAGTGTCCAATCCATCTCCACTTTCTCCTGCATATTTGTTGGGCGATTGGTTCTTGTTTTGTTTGTTTCCATAGTTTTGGCTTGTTTGTGATTGTTTCCGGCCATCTGATCTTCAGTATAGAGCAAAGACAGTTGTTGTTGATAAAGGTCTACAACCTGTTGGAAATGTTTTTTGTGACCTGGATTGGAATGATCCATTCTTATTTCATTCCTTGCGTTCCGGCTGGAAAATAGGTCTGTAAGCTTCGGCTTTCAATTTTCAGTTGAAGTGGTATTTATTTCTTCACGAGATGGAGTTGCTAGCCTCACATTCAACTTAGTAAGGTTAAGGAGTTCGTCGACCGGGGACCGAAACCCGGACCCCCGGATGAGTCTTGGTTGGTGGTGAAGTTGATATAAACATCCGATATCTCTTTTGCTTGTTTGACAGAGAGTTCATCATTAGTGCAAATGGACTGAGTCAGCTCAGAGTGCCGAATCAATTCAAATTTTGATTGATTACTTTTGAGGGAAGTTGGTAATACATAGATTCACTTATTTTCCTATTTACCGTTCATTTTATCACATAATGTGGTCTAGTTTTCAAAGGGAGTCATGTGTAGTGGTTTCCAAAATTGTAAATTTGATTCTAGGAAAATGTCGTTTTTTTAAAAGAAAAAGTTACATTTCCTAGTAGAAAAAGAAGTTTTGAAGATCTAGTGAAATTTCCTGTAACTAGACCCCAAATATGAGGAGATGTACCTCCTGAACTCCACTGTTAACCCCCAACAATCAAGTAGCTTTGGATTTTTCAATGCTGGTAATATCATGGCATCCACTCATATACCAATCTGTGAGTACAGTCTTCGAGTTTCAGTGAGGATATGATCATTCACTGAATAGAGAAAATACATCCGGTCAACGAGTCCTAAATAAGGCGAAACGCTCATTCTGGATTCTGACGAATAAGTAACTTTGAGTTTTTAATCCTGATCATATCGATGCATCCATTCAAGGAGTTCATCCTTCTGTCTGTCTGTTTTCGATATAGAACTTAGCACATGTGTGCAGCAGTTCAAGTCGTCACACTCCCTCCATGTAGCACACAAAGCAAGAGAAGAAAGTAGGAGAAATGCATCATAAAGATAGTAAACAGAGGTGTGAGACAGAGGAATAGTAATAACGAAGAACAATATAGTTTCATTGGAAATCATAAGTCATAAGGAGTGGATGCATCTGCGCCAGCCAGAAATTGAGAACGATTTTGAACCATATTACCAATTGTTTCCAACCATTGGTTTTTTACCGTCCTGAGGACACCAACCAGTCAGGAAGTTTACACCTTCCTACGTGGCTGGCTTAAACTAACTGTTGTAGATTTCGTCGACTGGTGCCATATTTTGCTTTGACCACCACTACCTAGCTCTTTTCTAGCCTGACCCTATGTCAGCTAACATTGCCCGTCGATTAAGGCGATGACTAGGCATACGTCACTCAAGTCCTAACCATCTCAGTCGATGTAACTTCACAGCGTCGTCGATTGATGTCCCCTCGTTATATAGCACTCGACCGATGGCCTAACCTCAGTATTGCTTACCCTACTATACCACTTCACACGGGAGATAGAACGCAGACACCTGTGATCAAACACAGCTATTCTCTTCATGTCTTCCACTCTGAATGGCCAGGTCTCACAGCCATAAAGGAGAACGGAGCGGACTGCTGAGCAGCAAACGTGCCCTTTGGTCGATAGTCGGATATCATGTCTAAGCCAGAGACGGCGTAAACTGGTATATGCGGAACTAGCCCTCTGTATTCGTGCTGAGACTTTGTCAGAGATCAACCCGTTGGGGCTGATGTAACTTCCCAAGTAAGTGAAGCGGTCAACGTGCTCTACCACTCCACTTCCTATTTCTAATCTAGGAGTCGGTGTAGTCAAATCCTGTAACATCACCTTACATTTTACAGGGGCGAATCGCATGCCAAACATACGAAGATTGATGAAGGAGTTCATCTACCAGACTGTAGGGGGTCAATGCTGTTACTAGATTATATAAGAACTGCAAATCATGCATGAACACAGAAGAGACAGTGATGATTTAGCCTGAAGAATGAATATGCCCAATAATGAAAATTCTCCTTAGACTAAATTCTTTTTATTTTAATCTTAAATAATGCATTTAGTCATCATTGCTTATTAGTTTGTCTAATTTTTTTTTTACTATGTGTTTTTTTTTCAAAAAAATAATCAGTTTGTGGAGATATACACGGTCAATTCTACGATTTAATGAAATTATTCGAAGTTGGCGGTCCACCTGAAACAACCCGATATCTATTTCTTGGCGATTATGTTGATCGAGGTTATTTTAGTTTAGAGGTAATGTTTACAATCAATATCATCTCTGTTATGAATTTATGTTGTTTTATCTTTGAGTAATTAAATCAATAATCATGTTGTTTGGATACTTGGGAGGGGTTGGGGGGGGGCGATGCTGACTGAGTTCTATCAGTTAAGTCTGAAATGTGATCGTCAATCTACGAGACTCAGCACTGCAGTGCACTTTTTAAAAATTATTCCTAGATATGAAGGAGCAATCAATAGGAAGCTGTGAACCTCAGTTTCGTGCCTGCTAGTGCTTGTGTGCAAGGTTGAGGGCGCATCTTACTGATTACTTAAAAATCCCATTCCATGCAGGAAGAGTAACTCTGGGAATTTGTTATTCTTTTACATTCTCTTGTACTCCGAGTGGAATGTGGGACTTCAAGTTGTAGAAGTGTCACTAGCGATGGTGTTTTTTCTTTTGTGGTACGAGGTTTCAAGCCTTAAGCCCAATCTCCCCTCTTTTGTGGAGTTATGGTCGGCTAAGAAACTAGGTCAGGAATTGAGCCTTCGACCACGTGTGTAGCTGGGGGGGACATTCTAACAGTGAATACTTAACAGGAATGCATGGCTGTTAGACAACTATTTCGTTTCTATTTCATAAATTATATAATATGGAGATTCATACCTTTAAGTATTACAGTAGATTTAACACTATTCTACCAGTTTTGATTAGACACTAATTAGTAACTAGTGTGATGTATGTGTCTAGTCCTCTGTTTGGTGCAGACTGAATTCTATCAGTCACGTTTGCAATGTGACCACCATGCCACTAGGTGGTTCTCCATCATGGTGCACTTTGAATTGTTTGTATTTGATGGCTGGAGGCAGTCGAGCACAGGAAGCCTTGAACCTAGGTTTCGTGTTGGTTGGCACTCATCAGCAAGGCGTATCTGCATGCGTGAAGGAACTCATGACTCTTTTGAGATTCAAACCCGCATCATTCAGTGAGTGCTGCAGTCAGAGACATTACCACTGGGCTGTTTGGGCTCGAGTTTGACCTTGTGATTCGATCAGTAGATTGGAATTTAATGTTTCATACTGCCGCCTAATTTCTGATAATTCCGTGTATGATGAATGAAATGGGAAAATGCTGCGAACTTGATTGACGTCTGTGATCTTATCAGTTGACTAATTCTGTGAAAAGGGATATGTTATTGTTACTGAGCAGTCCTATTTTCAGTTGGTCAACATTCAATAACTAACATACTATAGAGTAATGGATTTATACTCTCTAGCATACTTAGTGTGTGTGTGTGCGTGCGTCGGTGTTTTAGAGGTAGAACATTCGCTAACCTTGCTTTACATGGTCTGGGGTTCGATTCCTGACCAACATACTCTTTAGTCTTGCTTAACTGATGGTAAGCCCAAAATAGAGGGAAGTTTGATTGCAAGGCTAGCAATCACACCGAAAACTTGCACTACGTGTAATTTGTCCAGTCCTCTGTTTGGTGCAGACTGAATCCTATCAGTCAGGTTCGCAATGTGGCTACCATGCCACTAGGCGGTTCTCTATCATGGTGCATATTGATTTGATGATATTAGATGTTTGGAGGCAATCGGCCACAGGGTCCTTGGACCTAGGTTTCGTGCTATTTAGCACTCACCAGTCAGTCAGCAAGGCGTATTTTCGACCTTGAAGGAACTCATGTCTCTTCTGAGATTAAAACCTGCGTCACCCAGTGAGTGCTGCAATCAGAGACGTTACCACTGAGCTATTCGGGCTAGCGATTGACCTCCTCTAGGACTGTAGTGGATGTGTTGATTGGACACTAGTAACTAGTGTGATGTGTCTAGTCTTTTCTTTGACGCAGGGTTCGAATCTGAGAAGGGACATGAGTTCCTTCAAGGCGGTCGCAGATACGCTTTCCTGACTGACTGATGAGTGCAAACTAGCACGAAACCTAGACCAGGTAGGGCTTCCTGCCTATATTGCCTGCAACCATCTAATATAGACAACTGTATCTCACGTATCGAGTTAACTCTTATTCGTCATGTTAACAACATATCTATGATGAGCTTAATTAATTAATTAATTAATTATTTAATTAACTGGTCTGTCTAGTCCATTTCAGAAGATATACACAAAAGCCAATTGAACATATGAATGATTGGCATTGATGATAAGACAGGAATATTAATTGCATTCAGCTCTATGTCTCCCTCTCTCTCTCTTTCTGTCTATCTATCTTACTCTCTTCTTGTATTCGTGTCCATCATCTTCATTATAGGCAGTATTTTATACTCCTGGAATGCATTATACGGGTCTCTAAAAACACACACACACAACAATTTTATATATTGTTCTGTTTAGCAAAGATGGAGAGAAAAATAACAAACCCGTTTTTCAATACAGGTATGGTCTTGATGTGATCTGCTGAGGTAAACGTGTGATCTATTAGTTAGTTTCAATTAATTGTGATAATGAGATGGGGACTACCTGGGATATCTTTTTCGATTGACAGGCTACTAATCATCATCATCATCAGTCCCTTGACTTTCGTCGTGGGGGTGCTATGACAGTTCGCGCTATCAGTCTTCGCCATTCTTCTCGGTTTAATGCTATTTTCTGTAGCGTATCCAAGGGCATTTCAGTCCACTCTTTTATGTTGTCAAGCCAGCTCTTATTCGGTCTACCTCTCTTTCGTGCTCCTCCTACTGTGCCTTGTAGAATCGTTTTGGACAATGTGTCATGTCTTACCGTGTGGCCGAACCATTGTAGTTTCCGTTTCTTTACGATTGAAAGGAGTGGTTCCTGTTTTCCTGCCAGTCTATGGACCTGGTGTAAGACATATTCATTAGTTTTCCTTTCAAGGTAACTTATTCCTAGGATCCTTCTATAGCTTTTGTTTTCGAAGGCTTGTATTCTTCTTTCTGACTCTGCATTCAGGGTCCAGCTCTCACATCCATATAGGAATACAGAGAGGACCAGTGACGAGTAGAGTTTCATTTTTGCTGAGACGCTGATGTTGCTCTTCCATATTTTCCCTAACTTGGACATGGTGGCAGAGGCTAGGTTTAGTCGAATTTTTATTTCCTTAGTGGACCTTCCATCTTTTGTTAGGGTAGACCCAAGGTATTTGAAAGTTTCAACCTCTTCTAATACATGTCCATCAAGTCTGATACATCTATCTGAGTTGTTTCCTACTAATAGTGTATTTAATAAGACAGAGAGAGAGATGATTGAAATTGGGATGAAATCTAGGTCACAGTAGAATTGGAATCAGCTGGCTTGGCACTCATCTAGCAGAGTCATGTACATTGTAATTCATGGAGATAAGTATTAACGCTGAGCCGTGACTAAATATTTTCCTCAGATTCGATCTCGAGCTGACATCAGTTAGAGCATCGTTAGAAAGCCAGGGAGTGCTTGACAGCTGTTTCATCCTAGTTCGGGACGCTTCGTCAGTACTCATCCCGCCGAATTCAAACTGAGGGTCTTCTGATATAAGTATAGAACTTGGGGACTGTGGTAGAGTATAATTCCATTATGTATAAGATTTTATTTTGATAAAATCACACAGTATATACAGTAATATTAACTGATAACCACATTTCGAGCACAAATTATTGCTCATAATCATGTCAAGTTACTCACACCACGTTTTTCCTTCATTTATATACATGTGTGGAATTGACTAGATATTTGAATAGAATTCAATGTGGGATAATGTACATTCAGAAATAATAATACGAGTGTTACTGATCAATTACCATCAGATGGGAAAAAAGACGAATGCCTTATGGTCATAATAAGTAACTTGTTAGAATGTTGTGATGTACATGAATTGAAATAGAATTTTGAGATTATTTATTATCCTCCTCTGATTTCACTGACTGGTGGTAATAATGTTCCATATCTCCGGTATCTGCGTTGAGTCACTTCTATTTCATGTGTTGGGTGTAGACTCAATGAACCAGGATTCAGTAATCAATCTCTCTCTCCACCTACATAGATTACTTCTTAGAATCTTAACTCTCTCCCACCACGCTATTGTGTGGTTGTCTGTTAATGCGTGGTCAACCATTCTTACATTAGCTAAATTCTTATGTTCCGACAATCTGACTACCCCCGATCTACTAGTTTGACCAATGTAGTTCGCCTAACTCACAGTCATTGCAAGGTATTTTGTAAATTATATTATTTTGTTTAATTTGGTCCACCGGGTCTTTTAGCCTACAGAGCTTGTCTCTGAGTGATTTTGTAGGCGAGCGGGCTAGCTCGTAGACCATTCAGCCACTGTGACTCGTGAATTCCGAATTCTGCCCATTTGCAATATGTAGCTCAGTCTCCAGCCGATGTTATTGGCGAGTAACTGTTGTCTTATCTCACCAGGTGGAACCCGCTGGTATTGTTGGGATTGTACTCTGTTTTCATATATCTTTAGATTTCATATATCATTAAGTTCTTCTTTGATTAATTACTTTTGTGGCAACTTCGTACTTTTAGGAGAGAGTAGTGAACAAGCGTTATGTTTTCGCCACGAAACTAAATTCTGTGAGGGATATCCGTGAATTGTTAGCTTCGGTCATGGTAACTGGTTAGTTTTCTTGGGGATAGTTTTTTTGTCACTATATACTTTGGATATAGTTTTTTTTTTCAAAATCTGTCATAAAAATATCATACTATTTACATTCTGAATTGTTATCCTACAGCGCTCCTTATTCAGCCTTAATGTTTTGTGTAAGTATGAAACACCACAAACTTTACCTTCATTTTGATCACTAAATCTGGAATTTATTGGTGATATTGTGTTGGTTTTTCAGTGTTAGAATGGTAACCAACTATGCATATGGTGAAGGGTATAAATACCGGCTGATGCACTCTTATAAACCTTACTTAACTGGTAGTAATCTTCGTAGAGAGAGAAAAGGTTGGGAGTGTGGCTAACCACTCCACCCTGTAAAATCAACATTATTGTTAATTGCGTCGTCTGGGAGCCGAACTCCTGACCACGTCTGTCGTTGACGAGCATTCTGCCCCTAAACCACCATTG